CCAGAACTTGAATACTTTGACTCCTGTCTTACAACCCAGAAAAATGCACTCTTTCGATTTTGAATCAAGTTTGGATCTCTCATCAGCAGGTACATGCACATAAGCAGGACAACCAAAAATCTGTAAGTGATCAAAAGTAACATCATGACCAGTCCATACCTCTTATGTAACTTTCTCAGCCAATAATGCCTTTGGCGATCTATTGATAAGATAACACACCATGTTAGCAGCCTCGGCCCAGAAGTGTTCGGGAAACCCCGCATTCAACCGCAAACATCTGACTTTTTCATTCAACGACTTGTTTATTCGTTCCGCAACACCATTCTGTTGTGGTGTCTTGCGCACTGTAAAATGTATCTTAATCACATGCTCCTTACAAAAGTTTAGAAACTGTGAATCTGTGTACTCCGTACCATTGTCAGACCGCAAACACTTAATTTTTTTGTCCTGTTTGGTTTTCTACCTCAGCTTTCCACAGCTTGAACTTCTAAAAAAAGCTAGACTTCTGTTTCAAAAAATACACACAAACTTTCCATGAAAAATCATCAATAAAAGTAACATAATACCTAGATCCACCCAAAGACGATGTCATGGAAGGCCCCCATACATCAAAATGCATGTAATCAAGAATACCTTCAGTTGTGTGCTTCCCAGTCTTGAAACGAACTTTAGTTTGTTTACCAAGAACAAAATACTTACAAAAATCTAGCTTACAACTTTTAACACCATGCAACATATTTCTTTTATGTAATTCAGCCATACCACGTTCACTAAGATGAGCAAGATGCATATGCCACAGTTTGGTAGTATCATCACAGGACTCAACAGAATGAACTCTACCTACAACGGTACTCCCTAACAATATGTAAATATTCCCTGCAGTCATATTTCATTTCATCACAGTCAAAGCTCCTTTAACAATCCGAATGGTTTCTCTATCCTCATCAGCCTTAGGGATAAAACCATTCTTGTGCAAAGTGCCCAAAGAAATCAAATTCTTCTTCAAATCTGGGATATGCCGAACATCACACAACGTCCGAACAGAACCATCATACATCTGAATTCTGACATCACCAATACCAACAATATTGCAACATCGATCATCACCCAAATAAACAGAACCAGAATTAACCGATCTGTATGTCGAAAACCATTCCCTATTTGGCGTGATGTGATAAGAACGTCCAGAATCAAGAATCCAAGCATCCGTCAATTGAGTCGTTGAAATAGAGAGCATATCACCCTCACTACAATCAGAATTGTCATCCTTGACCACATTCATAGACTTGGATGAGTCATTATGCTTCTCATCAGTATGCATTTTCAACTTCGGACATTCTCGCTTCATATGTCCCACCTCCTTGCACTTGTAATAATGAATTGTCTTCTTATCCCTAGATTTGGATCTTAAATTCTGCTTCTCAGACCCTATATTCTCTGGCTTCCGTCCACGGTCTCGATTACCCTTGACATTTAAGCTATCAGCTTGAGAGCTTTCCCCTGCATTCTGCTTCCGCTAGTTGTGAGCCAACAAGGCTACAGTAATCTCCTCAACTTTGATAGTCGCTTTCCCATATATAAGAGTAGTTACCATGTGTTCGTAAGAAGGAGGCAACGAACACAACAAAATCATCGTTTTGTCTTCATCCTCAATTTTCACATCAAGCCGAGCCAAATCAGAAACGATTTGATTGAAGACATTCACGTGTTGCGCCAAATCATGATTATCCTGCATCTTCAGCCCATACAGTCGCTGCTTTAGATACAGTTTAGTCGTTAAGGATTTGGACATAAACTGACTTTCCAACTTCTTCCAAATTTCATCTGGAGACGACAGATGCATGACCTCGTCCGCCAAACATAATCGTATGGTTCCTGCCGCTCGCTGCTGTAATTCTTCCCAATCTTCCTCCTCCATCGATGCCGGCTTTGTAGGTCGCAAAGCCTTCAGGATCTCTTGTTGTGCCAACAGATCCTTCACCCTTGTTTTCCATAATCCGAAGTTACTCTGACAATCGAATTTCGCAACTTCGAATTTGGATCCTGACATTTGATACCAATTGTTGAAAAAACGGGTAAAGAAAATGGAAAGAACACAATAATTTTAACGAGGTTCAGCAATGTGCTTACGTCCTCGGTGCCCTAGGCGGCGCTAGAATTTTATTCAATATCTCATAGGTTTTGGTTACATCTCCTTTTATAATAAATAAACCCTGATATATATTTACAAAAATAACCATATACCGTACCCTTTACCGATATATTTATGAGCTTCTAATCAGAAGACACACAAAAGCTGCAATTGCAATTCAGGTAAAAATACAACTTTCTTTCAGTTGTTGACATATTAATAGGTACTAGCGTTCTTACTTATGTCTTTGTTTGTTTGTTTTGTACAATTGATATTATGCAAATTCATGTATTTTACAGTGTCGATTTAGACGATTCGTGGCCAGACGTTATTATCTAAGGTTACAGAAAGCAGTACTTGTCACACAATGTGGCTGGAGAGCAAGAGTTGCACGTAGAAAATTACGGAAGCTAAGAATGGTGATTTTTTTCATTTCTCAAATTAGTTTAAGCTCATGATTCTCTTGCATGGGTGTATTCTAGTATTTTTTTTAACAATAAGTTCTTCATAGATGATAATATTCCATAATGTGCTCTATTTCTATGTGAATATTAGTGTTGTTTCTGCTGATTCTGATTAATTATAGAATAATGAATGAATGTGGAGAACCAGTCCCAGCTAACAGCTATGTATTCAAAAATGGAATAATCATCTCTCTTCTGCTTATGTTGCTTGCAGCAAGTTGGAATTAGTATCTTTTGAAGTCTCAGTTTCTGCCTTTCCTTCCAAAATTATGTGCATGATTGTTTCAATTTGACATTCCTTTGTCTGCAGGCCGCTAGGGAAACTGGTGCTCTCCAAGAAGCCTAAACTAAGCTGGACAAGGAAGTTGAAGAACTTACATGGCGCTTGCAGTTAGAGAAACGAACGAGGGTAGATCTTTTCTTGATAATAAAAATAATGTCACTATTATAAGTACATGGGTTTACAACAGTCCCAGCTACGTTGTCATAGAATTATCTGTCTATTCATTAACATCTTCAATATCCGTTTGGTATAAACTTATTAGCTATGTTTGATTAGTCCGTTTCTATTTTTTTCTTAAAAATTCTCATAGAAAAACATGATAGAAAGGATAAGAACCGTTGGGAAAATTATATATTGTCTTTTAAACCTACGTTGTAAATTGTAAGCGATCTCCCCCCCTAATTGATTTAAATATTAGGGCAAGTTGACATTGAGGAATCGAAAAAACAGGAGAGTGCAAAGTTTGAATCTACTTTGAAGAAGATGCAGCTTGAGTTTGAGGAATCGAAAAAACAGGAAAGTGCAAGGTTTGAATCTACTTTGCAGAATATGCAACTTGAGTTTGAGGAATCCAAAAAACAAGAAAGTGCAAGGTATGAATCTACTTTGCATAAGATGCAACTGGAGTTTGAGGAATCCAAAAAACAGGAAAGTGAAAGGTTTGAATCTACTATGAACGAGAAGCAACTTGAGTTTGAGGAACTGCAACTTGAGCTTCAACAAACAAAAGAGTCACTAGAACAATAAACTGCAAGGTTTGAATCTACTCTGCAAAAGAAGGAACTTGAGCTTAAGGAAGCAAAAGTGTTACTAGTTAAGGAAAGTTAAAGGTTTGAAGCTGCTTTGGGGAAGATGCAACTTGAGTTTGAGGGATCCAAAAGACAGGAAAGTGCAAGGTTTGAATCTACTTTGCAGAACATGCAACTTAAGCTTCAACAAACAAAAGAGTTACAAGAACAGGAAAGTGAAAGGTTTGAATCTACTATGCACAAGAAGCAACTTGAGTTTCAGGAAATGCAACTTGAGCTTCAGCAAAAAAAAGAGTTACTAGAACAGGAAAGTGCAAGGTCTGAATCTGCTTTGCAAAATAAGGAACTTGAGTTTCAGGAACTGCAACTTGAGCTTCAGCAAACAAAAGAGTTACTATAACAGGAAAGTGAAAAGCTTGAATCTTCTATGCACAAGAATCAACTTGAGTTTCAGGAACTGCAACTTGAGCTTCAGGAAACAAAAGAGTTACTAGTTAAGGAACGTGAAGCTGTCAAGAACATTGCTGAACAAATTCCTGCGATTCAGGAGATCCCAGTTATTGACAATGAATTGATGAATAAACCTAATGCTGAAAATGAGCAGCTGAAGGTATTGTTAGACATTTGTTGCTTCAAATAAGATCTTAGGTTTGACTAAAGGCTTCTTGATGTCATTTTTAAACTTTGTTGTTCTTCCTTTATATTTCTTGAAATCTTGTTTGGAACAATGCCATTGTAGGTTCAGAAAACAAAGGAGTTACTAGTTGAAGAAAGTTAAGCTGCAAAGAACATTGCTGAACAAGTTCCAGCGATTCAGGTATTCCCATTATTGACAATGAATTGATTAATAAACCTACGCTGAAAATGAACAGCTGAAGGTATTGTCAGTCATTTGTTGCTTCGAATAAGATCTTAAGTTTGACTAAAAGCTTTCTTGATATATTTTTAAACTTGGTTATTATTGCTTTACGTTTCTTGAAATCTTGTTTGGCACAATGCCATTGTAGGTTCATGAAACAAGTGAGTTACTAGTTGAGGAACATGAAGTTGCAAAGAACATTGCTGAACAAGTTCCTGCGGTTCAGGAGAACCCCGTTATTGACAAAGAATTGATTACTAAAGTTACTGCTGATAATGAGCAGACGAAGGTATTGTTAGATATTTGTTGCTTCGAATAAAATCTCAGGTTTGACTAAAAGCTTTCTTGATGTCATTTTTCAACTTGGTTATTGTTCCTTTACATTTCTTGAAATCATGTTTGGCACTATGCCATTGTAGGTTCAGGAAACAAGTGAGTTACTAGTTGAGGCACATGAAGCTGGAAAAAAAATTGCTGAAATGCGGGAGAACCTTGTTATTGACAATGAATTGATGAATAAACTTACTGCTGAAAATGAGCAGCTGAAGGTATTGTTAGACACTTGTTGCTTCAAATAAGTTCTTAGGTTTGACAAAAGGCTTTCTTGATGTCATTTATTAAATTTGGTTATTCTTCCTTTTTGTTACTTGAAATCTTGTTTGGCACAATGTCATTGTTGGTTCAGGAAACAAAAGAGTTACTAGTTGAGGAACATGAAGCTGCAAAGAACATTTCTGAACAAGTTTCTTTGATTCAAGGGTTCCTTGTTATTGACAATGAATTGGTGAATAAAATTACTGCTGAAAATGAGAAGCTGAAGGTATTGTTAGACATTTGTTGCTTCGAATAAGATCTTAGGTTTGACTAAAGAGAAATCCTTTCTTGATGTCATTTTTAAACTTTGTTATTCTTCCTTTATGTTTCTTGAAATCTTGTTTGGCACAATGCCTTTGCAGGCTATGGTAAGTTCCTTGGAACAGCAAATTGATGAAACAGAGAAAATTTTTGAAGAAACAAACAAGCTTAGTGAAGAGAGGCTAAAACAGGTTACGGAAGTAGAGTCAAAGATAATTGAGCTCAAAATTGAAATGCAAAGGTTTATACCAATTCTGAACTTGGATAATACGTGTTTCAACTGTATATTTTATTTATGAATGATTAGTCAATTGTACTTTTCCTTCTTTGACTGGTAAATTGCTTTTCTTTCATCTGAATAATTTCTCATATCTTTTACAGGCTTGAAGAAAAGGTTTTGGACATAGGATCTGGGAAGCATAAACCTAGTAGATTTATGACAGAGGTGCGAGCTATGTCTTAACATGTTTTCCTTATTTTCCTTCAGTTAGTTTCCCAGTTCTTTTTTTTTTTTTTTTTTGTATTTTTCCTTGTTGGACTTTATTTCACTTTGCAGTCTCTGGAAAATGGTCATCATGTAAGTGAAGAATGTAGAGATTCTATAATTTCCTATCACTTCAGTTTATTAGATATATCTTCATACTTGGGTTCTTTGTCACTTCTATCATCCTGAGAAGGAAAGCTCTCTCTAACAGGCACAACTGAGTTCTCGTCAATCAAAACAGTTTGGTAGTGAAGATAGTAAAATGATGAGATCCCATACTGAAAAGCAGCAAGTATGAATTCCAACAATGTTGAATTGATTCTCCCTTTCCTTTTCTTTCTTTCAAGTATTTGTATTGGGTGACATCTCTAGGGATTAATTTTTTTTGTATGTATCATCTTTTCATCAGGAGAGTGTAGATGATATGATCAGATGTGTATCGCAGAATCTTGGGTTCAGTCAAGATAAGCCTGTTGCGGCATTTACCATATACAAATGTCTTCTCTATTGGAAGTTATTTGAAGCTGACAAGACGAGTGTTTTTTATCGTCTTATTGAGATGATTGGCTCTGCACTAGAGGTATCTTGCCTATTTCACAAAGCTCATATTTTGTATAAGATAAAATCCTTGTCATATAAACCCCCCCCTTTTGTTTCTGATACTGAGATTATGTTACGGTACTATTGTCTTTAATAAAAGCTATTGTTCTTTCTTAATAATAAGATATTATAGCAATTTTGATCTTTTTGTTTTTTCAAGAATACTCCAGAGCATTATTTAGAAAAATGGGTGAAATATACGTTTCAATTTTAAGTTTCTAGAAAAGGCAATATGACGACTAAAAACTAATTCCAACTCAAATATAAATATAAATAGTTCCATGTATATTCTTTTTGTTATCCAAGAATTATCAAGTTTGTGTTAGTTAAAAATGTCCTTGTTGTTATCATCACTTTTAGTTTCTTTGTTGTTTCATCCAAGGTGCACTTTTGCTTTGTGCTTTTCGTTGGCAAAACTATTAATCTATGAGGCTTTATATCTCTCTCTTTTGTTTTGGATTTAGAAGCTACAATTATGGTTTTATACTCCGTTGAAAAACAATCATTAATTTATTAGGATGGAATATGGAATTGTCCTCTTTGCTAGGGACTTATGTCAGATTAACCGATTCTTAAACTATGTTTTTCTGATTGAGCAGGTTTAACCAACTGAAAAGATGAGGAAAATAAATCTAATATAATATCCATGATTCCATATAATGTTTTTCAGGATGAGGACAACACCGACAACATAGTTTATTGGCTGTCAAACACATCTTCATTGTTGTTTTTGCTTCAACGTACTTTGAAAGCGGTTGGAGCACAGAAACCACCTGCTGCAGCATCATTCTTTGCAAGGATGACCAAAGTATTGAGATATTTCGTTTACCATGTCTTTAAATTGTTCGCATGAAATGGTCCTGATTTAAGTATCTTTGAAGTTTTTGATATATCCTACAAAAAGGAGGAAAGAACAAAACTCATTAGTTATTTATTTAAAATCTTGTCATACAATCATCATTTCTGTTGAGTGATTCTAGAGGTCATGCAGGAAAATTATTTGATATAATGTTGTTCTTTCTCAGAGTTTTCGTTCATCTTCTGCCAATCTTCAAGCTGGTATAGTGACTCAGATTGAGGCCAAATATCCAGCTCTTCTTTTTAAGCAGCAGCTCTCTGCCTATGTAGAAAAGATCTATGGAATTGTTAGAGAGAACTTGAAAAAGGAGTTGTCACCGCTTATTTCTCGTTGTATTCAGGTACAAGGAGCTACGCATTTGGATCAAGTCTTTTTGTGGCATTTTCTTAACTTTCAAATCTTAACATTCAAAAGTATGGTGGTCTTTCTGATTCTTATTTTTAGAACCATCTCCGTAGCCTCTATAGTGCCTTGCACACTAGAAAGTTGCCAGGTTGCTTCATTTGAATTTGTAGGGCGTGTTTGTTGTATTATCGACTGAAATTTTTGCTGTGAGTAAATTTTAACATTGCATGTTCTGATATGATTTAGGAGTATTCTTACATGAGCTTTGGTTTTCTGTTGTTCCTTTTAAAAGTAGTGTTAAAATGATGCGAGAAGCCCTTATTTTATTAATTCCGATGCTGGCTTATATGCACGGTAGCGACTCGTTTTATCTAGGAATTGCTATTTCTTTATGTTTCTAATTCATCACCCTGTATGTTAGGTACCTAGGACAAAAGCAACTGGTTTTCAGTCTGAAGAACAAGGCTATACATCTCCAGCTAGTCACTGGCGGGCCATTATCGAGTGCCTGAACATGATGATGAGCACATTAAAATAAAATTTTGTATATAGCTTGCAATTATGATGGATTCTTTCTGCTCTTTTTTTTTTTTTTTTTTGAGCTATGGACTTATGGTCATGGCATTTTTATTTCCATGTTTCTCCAGTATTTATTCAGAATATTTTCACTCAAACTTTTGTATATATTAATGTACAGCTCTTTAACAGGTAAACTGTTGTTTCGTCTGTTTTCCCCTTTTACTCTAGATAATATAATAAGAATAAATTCCAAAATATATAATGTTAAAATATTCCTCCACATCCTTCTTCTTCGTCGAGAGTGTTGCACATTTAGCAACGGGGAGTATGTGAAGTCTGGCTTAGCTGAATTGGAACCGTGGTGTGACGAAGAAGACGAAGAGGTAATTTCTTTAGCTCCCACTAACGAATGTTGAAGGTGGCATTTTCACATTGTTTGAGGGGTTTTTCTTCTTCTTGAAATAACACATTTTTATGAGGTTTGAATATATGCATAGTTGATGGTTGTTTGATTACAGTTTGTAGGCTCAGCGTGAGATGAACTTGTTGAGAATTAACCGAGTAATTTTCCTATAACCATATTAGTGAGAATACGAAATAAAAGCGGAAAAATAATACCAAAATTAATAACGGAGTTCAGCCAATTATGTCTACGTCTCCAGACTGTTGCAAATCTTTTACTAAAGAGAGAAAATTTACATGTGTTTACAAAACACTCACAACTCACAAGAAAACTCTCTAGTATTGGGAGAAATAAATGATTTTGGATGATTTTGAAGCTAAATGGGTTAGGGTATTTATAGTTGAAGCTTATGGACTAATATTGTAAATACCCTAAAGTGTACAGGGGCTAAATTGTAATTATTACTATTTCTATTTTCAAAGAAGATTGGGCACCGAGACCCTTCAGCCCCCTTTGTTGAATTCCCACAGACGGTGCTCCCTTAATTGATTTTCCTTAGCCCCCAATTTTAACTTTTCCAACAATCTCTCACTTGAAGACTGATTTTAATCTGTCTTCACACTTCGATCAATGGAGCATCATTTCTGGTCTTGTTACTCTAGCATGCCAACTGAAGCTGAACACAACTTCAGTTTGTCTATAGTCGCCGTCTGATTTAACATAAGTGAGTCCATCTCATCTTTCATTGAAGACTCCCACTTGACTGAATCCTCCACCTGCATTGCTTCATCATAGCACTCTGGTTCACCATTGTCAGTCAGCAACAAGTAGTGCAAAGAAAGAGAATAACGCTGGATTGGTTTAGGAATTCTGGAGGAGAGTCTTTGTTCTAGTGTGTCTGGTTCTTCTTGAACTGCTTCAGGACTGATCTGAACATCATTTCCAGAAATCTCCTCAAACTCAGCAAATTCCTTTGTTTCAGCTTTGGTATTGGAGCTACTTGATTCTATGATTGACATATCTTTGTACATCATATTCTCATTGAAAATGACATCTCTGCTTCTGATGATCTTTCGATTTTCATAGTCCCAAAACCGGTAACCGAACTCATCACCACCATAACCAACAAAGACGACACATTTTTTGGACTTAGCATCAAGTTTACTTCTTTCAGCAGATTTTATGTGTACATAAGAAATATAACCAAACACTCTTAAGTATGAAAAGCTTATTTCTTTTCTGCTCCAAACTTCCTCTGGTATTCCATCATCTAAGGGAACTGAGGGCTCATGGTTGATCAGGTAAGCTGCAGTGTTGATAGCTTCAGCCCATAGCAATTTGGGCAAGCCGACATGTATCCCCATGCTTCTGGCACGTTCATTCAGAGTTCTGTTCATGCGCTCTGCTACGCCATTCTGCTGTGGTGTCATGGGAACTGTTGTCTCCATCTTGATCTAATTATTTGCGCAAAATTCTCTGAATCTTCTATTTATGTACTCTCCTCCATTATCAGACCTCAAACGCTTGACTTTCAAACCAATCTCATTTTCCACCACGGCCTTCCATTTTCTGAAGGTATCAAAAACTTCTGATTTCTTCTTCAGAAAATAAACTCACACCTTCCTTGTAGAATCATCGATGAAGGTGAAATAATATAGTGAGTCTGCAAGAGATGGAATTGGAGATGGTCCTCATACATCAGTATGAACCAACTCTAACTTTTCTGCCTGGGTGTCTTGCCAATCTTTGCAAAATT